CGAGGCACTAAGCAACTCAGGAAGACCCTGTCTCTAAATAACATACAAAAGAGGGCTGGGGATGTGGCTCAGGGGCCCTCGATCCCCAGTACCCCACCAAAAAAATAAAAAGAGCTAGGGATGTAACACAGTGGCAAAGTGTCTAAATTCAATCCCTTATACCAAAAATAAATAAATAAAAATAAAATAAAACCCCAAAATTCTATAATTTTATAAAAATAAAACCTAAAATTCTTGGGTTGGGGATGTAGCTTATTGGAAAGGAATATGACTACCACATACAAAGCCCTTCTTGTTCAATCCCAGCACTACATACACACAAATTTTCTTAAAAAGACAATTATTTTTCCTAAATGACAAGTTGGCCTACTCTAAAGGTAATGTCATCTGAGGTTCCTGGAAAACTTTCAAAATCTTTCAAATCTAAGAACATACTACAATAAAAACCATTCTTTTTGCAATATACTTACAGAACAAAACAAGAAGGTAAAAAAAATCCATCTTTGAACTTTGAAATTTTTTTCACATAACACATTATTATAAAAAGTGATTAACTGGGCTGTTATGGCTCAGTGGCAGAGCACTTGCCATGCACTTGTGAGGCACTGGGTTCAATTCTCAGCACCACATAAAAATAAACAAACAAAATAAAAATATTTTTTAAAAGGTGATAATTGTTTGATTCCCAATACATCCCAGATAAAAAATCCAAGTTATAGCTCCATTAAATTTAAAACCTTAGTTTTGAAAGTTTCAACTTTAAAGTTAACATTATTAGGGCTGGGGATATAGCTCAGCGGTAGTAGAGTGTTTGCCTAGCATGCATAAGGTCCTGGGTTCAATCTCCAGCAAAGAAGAAACAACAAAAATTCACACTGTTAGATACCATTCAAGAGTCTATATTACCCAACCAATAGATAATACCTCTAATCCAAGCCTCATACACACAGTCATAACATCTCAGGGAAGGTACCACCCTACTCCAATCAAGAGCCTTCAGCTTACACAAGAGAACAAACAGCAGGAAACTAGACAAGTCATACAAACAAGCCCACTGATAATGCTGTCTTCTTTATATACAACCTTGCCTTAGTGAGAAAAAGTACTTCGAGAAACGCTCTCTATGCTTGTGTTGATATGAAATGAGATCTTTAACTTAATAACATTACATCAGTTCCTTAACTATAAACAAACTAGTCTGCCTTGAGGTTAACCAAGTAGCCTGGAAGAGAAAAGAAAAATAAGCTAGATTCTAATCCCAGCTATGACATACAGGTCCTTCCTTGCCAGCTCTAAAATGCTATGTACAAAACCAAAGAAAATATCCGAATTATTTTACAGCATTTAGGTCACTCCCTAGTCTGTACTGTACAAAAATGCTATTTTAAAAAACTCTGATAAATGTACCAGAAATAGAAATCAAATCCGGCCCTTTCCCAATTTTTAATTTATAAACTAGGATGTGCATATAATGTACAGAAGCATAATTAATGTCCCTTTTTTAAGCCAGAATTAAGTTCCTCAGTATTTTACTGGTATTTTACTCTCATGGGACAGTGGTTCAGTGGTAGGCTCTGGAAAAGTGACTCCTACTCAGACTTCCAGGTGGGTCTCTTAGAAAATCTTACTTCAATTATTTGCTGTGCATATTTCCCTATATTTAACATATCTTTACTTTAAATACTTAAAATCAGGCATCAGGGATTCTCCCTAGCCCTTAGTACATAAAAATTATAGATTCAATTAAATGTGTTAATTCCCCAATTGCTCCTCTTGAAAATGCTTCCAACTTGATCCACATCCAATTTTCAAAATACTTTTGTAAAATGGTTCATTACACTATAAAGATATCAAGAGCCTTGAAATAAAACTTAGTTCACCTTGGGCTCAAACCTATCAAACTGATCAAGATTCTCTTTAAAATTCCCGGTCAAGTCAAAACAAAAGGAGGGGGCCTATCTTAACGTCAGTCTTCCTCTTCTCGAACGCACTAGGTAATTTCCAAAGCAAGAAAATTAGGCCTGAGTCCTTCTAATGCTAACAGTTGATTCATCTGTGAGCCTGAAGATGGATCTTTCCGCGAGTTGTAACGATCAAAATTAGGGCAAATGGAGAGAACTGCACTCGGGTTCACATCAGCTTCTGAGGTATGAAACTAAAGGGTTGAGCGTCTCGTCCGGCTTTAGGATCGGAGGAAGCGCTCCAGCCAGCCTGCGCATCACCAGTACCTCATGACCGGTCTCGTCCGTTCAGCAAACAGGTCGTGATCAGGTACCGAGTGCCCGTCCTCCCACAGCCGCCCCACCAGGACCTGCAACCAGGACAGGAAACCGCAGCCCGCTCGGCCAGGTCACGTCCATCGAAGCCAGCCTTCCACGCACCCCAGCGACCTTGACCCACGTGCTTCCGAAAGCCTAGCCACAATCGTGCACCGCGCACACCTTGCCCCGGAAAGGCGCACCTCGCACCCGGGCCAAACGCCTCGAGGCGGGGCTGGGCCGACTCCGGGCCACTGAGCCCCACGCCGTGCGAGAGGTGGCGGCAGGCTCGCAGCGGGCAGGAGGCCGGTGCCCGAGCAGGGCGCGCGGACGGGGCGGCCCCGGCTCACC